ATCGTGAATTACATATATATATATATACGATCTCATATGTGCTATTATTTATATGTTAGAGTATACCTACGCTTACTATATATGGTAATGAAATGTACTGAGATATATAGGTATTATTATCGAGGAACATGGCCAAGCCAATTAAGATTTAATCGATTAAATCGCATTACCGTTAAAGACCACCACGTTGAAAAGAATACTTCAAGTTGATCTTGATCGAAATTCGATTGTTATCTTTTATATATACTTTTCTCAATCGTCTAATTAAAAAAGAATAAAAAAAAGATGATGTTTGAAAAATTACACAAAAATCTAAAAAACAAACCCACCTAATAATATTATTTTATTTACAAATTAAATCCATATACGAAGAAACTTGAATGAATTTTCATTTATAAGGAAACAAAAAAAAACCATGAATGATTTCAATAAAAGATTTTAAATTAAATAAATAAAATAAGTGAAGACGAAAAATTCAGGATATTTTGTGTTGATTGTTCGATGAAATAAATTATGGTGTTGGGTGGGGTTACAGGGGAGGTTGGGGGTAAGATAAAATCGTATGTTTGTGTGTTCAGGTGTTCATGGGTTTTGAGAAGAAGTATCAAAGAAGAAAATTAAAAAATATGATGTTTTATGAAAGTTAGAAGAGAAGATTCGAAAGTACTGGGTGGACATGATCACGAAAATCCTATTAGTTGTTGTCTGGATGAAATCAAGGACTATGTTCACCATTTCTCTCTCTCTCTCTCTCTCTCTTTCTCACTTACTCATTCAGTCTTCATTAACCTCGATAGGTAACGGTAAACTTTCCTTCCGATTATTCTCGAACGTTTTCGAGATGCACGTTTTAGATTTTCTATGACAGACTATAAAAAGGAAAGTCAATCATTTTTTATTATAACGTACGTAATATATATTGAAAATATATTTTTTTTTTTTCCAAAAAATAATTAAAATTTCACGATTTATTAATGGTTAAATAAAAACAATGAGAATAATTCGAAATATAATTCAATCGATCGTATATAAATATTTTCTTAAAATATGTAATACTTTGCAATTGAATTAAATTATTGTGCAAAGTGCACATTTAAAAAATTAATTTATAATATTTATCAACGGTACTTATAATGAATTTTTACGGTTGATAAAAATAAGAAGAAGAAAAATAATTAAATATTTTATGAAGAATAAGATTAAATCGGATTAAGAAATATATCCCTTACAATGGGATTCTATTTGTTTAACCTTAGTAAAATGTTACACCCCTTTCATCCCCCATACCACAAAGATATTCTATATATATATGTGTTTTCTCTTATCGTTAAACATTCGCGAAAGGAACTAGAAATTCCCATAACGGTCTAGAATTCGAGAAGTTAACTGTGCGAAACAACGTAGGAGGAATAAGAGTAAGAGAAGTTGAGTTCTAAAGGATAAAGGACGTTGTAAACGGGTTGCAAGATGCTCGTAAAGGACTCTAAGGATATTACAGGAGTAATAGAAAAAGACACAAATATTTTTAGATAAAAATATTATTGAATAACCCTATGTTCTTCGAATATTACCTTTCTTCAAAAGACAAAATT